GTTGGGCTAAAAAACATTTAATCATCTCTAAAGATCTGTAAGTGCCATATCATATTTGAGCAGGGTATGAGCAGAGCATGTGTACATGTACACAACATACACACTCTCAGATACACATATCACACGACCAAAGGACAGTTGATATATTTGCTATTCCAATATTTTTTCCATCAATATTTTGGATCAAATACTGCAAAATCTACTTTGCACTTCGTTATGTACTTTTATATTTGACATAATTACAATAGAGACACAAAAAGCACAGCTTTTCCAACCCAAGACTCAAGTGTGTAAAGTGTGACTCCCAGAGTCAGAGGCACTAAACCAGTGATTCTCTATGGCCCCTAAGAGTTGGGCCGAAACTCTGACCGGCTCTGAGGCTCTGAGCCACTCTGTGGCCCCTGAGAGCCTCACTGTGGCTCCTGAGAGCCTCACTGTGGCCCCTGAGAGCCTCACTGTGGCCCCTGAGAGCCTCACTGTGGCTCTGAGCCACTCTGTGGCCCCTGAGAGCCTCAGAGGCTCTGAATTTTCTTTAGGAAAACTAAAATTGTGATTAGGATTTTGTGTGAACTGTTTTGCAAATGTGAATTTTCAATAAATAAAAGCGCCAAAGCAACTGAAAAAAACAAACAAACAAAAACAAAAAAACAGTAAATATGACTGCAGGTGAACTCAAAGACTCAAGAATCTGGGACAAAAAAGAAGCTTTGGGATGGTCTTCATTCTAAAACCTTTGTCCAGTTTCAGATTTGAATGTTTCTCTTGCAGTGTGTCAGATCTGGATGACTGAGATTACACAGACGTCTTTGAGTTCACTCAATCATTTAAAGGAACACAAGTGTCAAGACTGGGCTTTTTCAAGCTCAAATATCACACAAAACTGACCCCTGTGAGCTTGAATCCATGTTCTAATGTTCTAATGTTCTTCACAAACAGAGCTGGACTTGTGTTTTGTTTCATTCACACATGTTGGAGTAACTCTTTATCATGTGTCTGTCTACATCTCCAAAGCTCCAAACTCTCTGGTTAATGTTTTAATAGCAGCATTCTGTTCAATGAGGAGCCGACATTAAAGCAGAGATCAGAAAAATGGGCCCTTGAACAATTTGGGGGAATGATCGAATGATGAACTTTGTGACACTGAGGTTATGTGTGTGGTTTTGTCATGATCCTCCAGTTTCTTCCTTCCCCTCCCCCTCCCTTGTGTGTTTCACCTGCCTGGGAGGAGTCGCCTGACACTCCAGCTGCAGCCTCTTCATCATCTCACACCTGAGATCCATCTCCAGTCTACTCCTGCCTATAACAGCCGCTTCTTCCTCTACTCCCTGCCAGTTTGTCAGTCTTCCACATTTGATAACTCGATAACTTGTGGCTCTCTTCCTGAATATCTTGTTTGTTTTTTGTTTTGTTTTTTAACATTTACATATCTTTTCCTGGACTTTTAGTAATGTTGTTTTGTTTCTGCTTTCACTGAGAGCCTCTGAGTGCTCCCTGGATCTCCCATCTCTACCTCCCTGGTCGTCTCGTGACTCATGCTCCACCGGACCCCCTCCCGGCTCTTGTCACACCTGTAAAATAAATCTCTTCACTTTATATAAGTTTTGGTTCTGCATTTTATAACAGCTTTATGGTTTAATAGTAGGACTCCCTTCAAAGTTCACATTTGAAACACACACAGAAGCATAAATCATTGGCAGACTGAATCATTCCACTGTGTAGTTTGTACTTTCTTAAATCACTGCAGTCTTCACATTAACATAAACATGACCATTGTCTTTGTCATTAACAACAACTCAATAATAATGAATTAATCTGACACAAAAACATGAACTTATGAATCAAACCTGAACCAGGGACAAGACTTGGAAAGTGAACGTAGTAGTAGTAGTTGTAGTAGTAGTAGTAGTAGTTGTAGTAGTAGTAGTTGTAGTAGTAGTAGTTGTAGTAGTAGTAGTTGTAGTTGTAGTAGTTGTAGTTGTTGTAGTAGTAGTAGTAGTAGTAGTAGTAGTAGTAGTAGTAGTAGTAGTAGTAGTAGTGTAGTAGTAGTAGTAGTAGTAGTAGTAGTAGTAGTAGTAGTAGTAGTAGTAGTAGTAGTAGTAGTAGTAGTAGTAGTAGTAGTAGTAGTAGTAGTAGTAGTTGTAGTAGTAGTAGTTGTAGTAGTAGTAGTAGTAGTTGTAGTTGTAGTAGTAGTAGTAGTAGTAGTAAAGAGCCTAGGAACACTAACCTGTGCTGATCAGAGGGTTTGAAGTCTGTGGTGCCCTTCAGCAAATGCAGAGTATCTGATTTCCATGTAATAGCAGAGCTGTGCCCTCCCATCCTCCTGAAAAAAGGTGTGTCAGATGCCCTCTCTTAATCTCAACTATTTTTATTGCTCTTTTATGGAAAGTCTGCTTACTTTTCTTTTATTTGCTGGTTTCAGTCCCTGTCCTTGAAGGATAAAAACAAACTGCAGAACATTGTTAAAACCTGCTCAAAATTCACACGGGTCAAACTGATGGAGCTGCATTCTCTGTGGGAGGAGCGAGTGCTGAGCAAAGTGAAGTGTCTCCAGGCTCAGCCTGTCCATCCTCCGGCTCCTGAATTGATCTTGGTGCATTCAGGGTGTCGGTTTTCTGCTCCAGGACGAAAGAATAACCACTTCTCAAATTATTTTGTGCCGTCTGCTATTAAATTGCTTAATTCTATGGGTACAGTTTTCTGAATGTGTTGCACTGTAATATGTAGAGTGTCACTGAGTTCCACTTGTGGTCTGTAATGGACTGACACACTGTGTGTGTGAGAACTGAGAAATACTCTAAGATGCTGCAAATGGGATCAATAAAGTTTTCTGGTAACATTTGATAATAACTACAGCTTATTTAGCCTTAATAAAGCATGAACAAAGACTGAATTCATAATGAACTAAGAATTAATCATGAGTCACGCTTTAGTAACTACTTAATTACTACCTTAATTAGCACTTAACTTCCACTTAATTCGCATGTGCTGTAAATAGTTACTCATAATTATTTCATACTTAATTACTCATGAACTAATCATTTGTGTGTGCATTTGTAAATGCATATTTAAGTACAAATCTGAGCATTTATTAATGATTAATAAGCTGTGAGACAATGATTTACTAATACAAAGCAATGATAATTCAGGCAGCTATTATCTGTTAAGTCTTTTTGAGAGCTTTTCTAAAGTGAAGACTAATTATGCTTTATTAAGCATTTGTTAAGGTTGGTCAAATTCCAGAGAAACAATCACATTTTCAGATTATTTAGGCATGTAATAATGATTAACAAATGTCTAACACCATTATTTGATGATCAGTTCAACCAGTAGTAAATACTTTTTTGTAAACTGTTTTAAGTGAAGATTGTTTGGACTTAAAGATTTGTTAAGGTACTATACGAGCCATTATCTAAGCCTGGAGTGTCTTGACCCATTTCCCCCTGAATTTTAACTTCAGCAGCAGTGAGAATCAACACGACATAAAAAAAATAAGCCAACAAACATGGATACAAATCAAGATGATGTGTATTCAAATTTTCAGAACATTTACAAACAGTGTCAGTAATTCACTGAGCTAAACATCTTGTAACATCTTATTAGCAACTCTTTCAAATGTTTGGCAACATTCTGGCTTGTGAACTCTTTCTTTTAAAGGTTTCAAAAACTTTGTGATTTAAAAAAAACAAATTAGCTATCAACTAATTAAAAATAAAGCAAAAAACTAGAACTTAACAATAAAGTTTTAACGTCACATTTAAAAAAGGTAAAAAATGAATACATTAAAACTATAAAACTCCTATCAAATAGGGTTTTTATAGTTTTTTTGTAACTTTTTAAAAGGAACCTAAACACTTTAAAGGCACATTTATAGTCATGTACCCGTACATCCCCCAGCCTAATGGAGGGGAAGCCCTTCTTTAGGTACCAGTGGTTGCCCCTATAGGCCAGTACAGTTATTTCAGTGTCCTGCATTCTTGTACAGGCTTGTAGTGGAAACCACTGGTACCGAAAGAAGGGCTTATTCTGCATCAGACCGATTCTGGGCCATGTATGGGCAAGAGAACTTTACACATGACCTTGACATGATGCACATTTATAAAACTTCACACAATTCACATGTTTTAAGCATTCATACATTTGTTTATTTTGTTTTAAAAGGAATTAGCTTCCCTGAATCTTTTAGAGTTTGGATCTTTTGCTCTATGTCAGCATCTTCAGAAATAGCCAATGCACATTGGGCTGCAAACACTGACAGCTTCATAGCTTTACTGTAAGTTTGCATAATTTCTTTGTATTTTTCTGGGGCAACTATGTACAGTTCGAATATTGGAGCTGTAATTATAACTGTATTGCGGTCCACCCCATACTTTTTGAAAGCATGACTCATTGTGCCACTTCGCTTGAGGATCTTCAAACATTTTCTTGTACCTGGCCACCACCTGTCTTGGACCTTGAGCTGTAAATAAGAAAATGAAAAGAATAAAGATGAAATATTTTAAAAAGTGTTCTACACTCAATCCTCATTTACCCATATTATATTGGATTGTTAGATTTGTGTCTTTCGGTTGTGTCAAATAGCTTTCATCTCTTGCTATGAATTCTCTTTTTCCTCCAATCATCTGGCCAGTTTGTCTTCTCAGCTTTTGCATTCCTGTGCAACACACATCTCTTATTTTTTTGGCCATTCTTGTAAGTGTTGCTGAACTGGCAGCCAGAGTCATCCATCATGTCTATTTGTCTTAGCCTTAATCCTTGACAAAATCTAAGAATACATACAAAAATATTGAAATCAGCAAACACATATTTGGCTAAATTGACTTGACCCATGTCATAAGTTATATTTTGGCTGATTCGTGCAAGTTTGTGTAATACTTTATCTAGCTTTCGAGTTGAATGAACATAACACCTAAACCTGTCTCTGTCCACCCAGTGCTAGTACCTGTTCTTAAAAAAATAAAATAAAGTCTATGTAGCACTTATACAATGCCACAGGAGGAGGTATAGTAGTAGTAATGGTGACTGGCTAGATCAGAAGATTGGGTTCGGCTTGGAGGGAAGTGAGGTGTTTAATAAGACACGTGCACAAGGTTGTAGTGCTTATCTGTGATATTATTATTAATTACAGTGTACAACAGACAATATATACAGTATTTACAGGGGTGCACAGTTATGTGATTAAGTTCAGAGGCTACGGAGGGTTCAATGAGTTATAGTCCTTAGTCCGATTGCTAATGAGCAGCAGCAAAATTTAATGTAATCCACACGGAGGTCATGTGAAAGGCAAAAAATAGTTCCAGAGATGGTTAAGATAAAGTAGGTGATTTCCAGCAAAGTTTATGAGGAGCCCAATGCCCACAGCAGGGGGCAGGGGGCAGTGGGTGTGTGAGTGTGTGTGTGGGTTGAGCAACTGCTACGCCTCCTACCGCACAGGCAGATGCTTGCACTCTTAGTTTGATTCGGGCTCTAGGCCTTAGCTCGCCATCCAGTGTCTGAGAGTCCAGTTTCTGGAGAGTTCAGTTCTGGAAAGTCCAGTTTCGGAGAGTTCAGTTTCAGAACCTGGCCTGTGCAAAACAGGACCAGCAGTAAGTAATACAATTTTTAGTACAACTAAGTCACTATAAAACATTTTCAAACATAACAATTTGTCATAATAAATCAGAATAATTATTCCATCCATGTACATGTATCAATATAAATCAATATCTAGAGTACTCCATTGTAAAATATTTCCATTAATAGGTAATATGTCATTTTAAATTACTTAGATTAACAATTTAGTAGGATCATATAATCATTATTTGTTGTCAATATTAGAACAGTCAATAAATTGCATTGAAAAGCGGTCATATAAATGGATGCGAAGAAGTGAGACCAACACCAACACCAGCACCAGCACCAGCACCAGCACCACACCAGCACCAGCACCAGCACCAGCACCAGCACCAGCACCAACACCAGCACCAGCACCAGCACCAGCACCAACACCAACACCAACACCAGCACCAACACCAGCACCAGCACCAGCACCAGCACCAGCACCAACACCAACACCAACACCAACACCAACACCAGCACCAACACCAGCACCAGCACCAGCACCAGCACCAGCACCAACACCAGCACCAGCACCAGCACCAACACCAGCACCAGCACCAACACCAGCACCAGCTCAGCTCCGCTCCGTGTTGAATGGATTATTCGGAGCGCTAGCATTAGCATTAGCATTAGCTCCGCACGGCAACAAACAAAGTCAACTCACCAGTTCCACTTAGTTTACGCTCAAACGATCACGACAGCACTTCGTCGAGAAGGCAAGAGGCATCTGGGGAAGTTGATGGCATAAGAGTTACTTTAATATACTTTTAGAGCGAAACAGTGAGTTATAAGAGCGATACTCGCCCACCTGCAGCCGCTCAGTCACACCCGGACCGACACAACACACGAGTGAACGGGAGCGCGCGCGCGGCCATATTTAAAGATCTTGGCGCAATTGGTCTCGCGTTATGTGCGCGAAGTCTCGCGATAGTTGAGAACGACAGCGGCCAAATTATTAGGTAGAGAGGGACAGCACAGAAAATCCCTGGGTTACATCGAGCTTTAGACCATAGGCTGAAAGCCAGTGGACCCTATGTTTAGTATGCAAATATTTTTTGTAGAATTTGTTAAACAAGCATAAAACACATTTATCACATCCAAAATTGGTTTAAATTAAATTGGTTTAATAAAAAATGCATTTAAGTGTTTCATTTGAATTACAGAGTTCCTAACAAAACTTATAACTATGATTTTTTATCACAAATTAATTTGTTACAATTTCTAAATATATCTGTAAATATTAAATGCAATGTTTAAATATTTGTTTGTTTTCATTGTTTTTGTGGTAATTAGCAAAATGTACCACCAATGTAAATAATTAATTCTTACATTTACAATTGTAAACAACATTGATCAAAGATTGAAAAGGGCTTAATAACAGAAACAGGTCCTGCTGCTGCTGCTGCTGCTGCTGCTGCTGCTGCTGCTGCTGCTGCTGCTGCTGCTGCTGCTGCTGCTGCTGCTGCTGCTGCTGCTGCTGCTGCTGCTGCTGCTGCTGCTGCTGCTGCGAAACACCTCATAACACAGAGGACATGTGCAGCTGGGCTCATCAGTGTCCCAGGCCTGAGAGATGCAGCGTTGTGGACACAAGTTACTCTCATCATACATATTATTTTTTTTAAAGTCAAACACTTATTGTGACAGGAAAGAGGAGAAGAACTTTTCCGGGTCTTTAAAAAAATTCCTGGTCTGTTTGACCCATCAGGAGAGCAGGAGGGTTAGTCCCGCTCTCCTGGTGTAATACAACATGTTAATGTGTCAAGATAGTCGTGCTTAGTAGAAAAATTGGCAATTTCACAGAGATCAGGACCACGGACAAATCAGATGGTGAATTTCTCACTTTCAGCAGAAAGTTTGATATCTGGAGCAAACAAATGCACAAACAAACACGCACACTCACACACATGCACAAACAAACACACACACACTCACACACATGCACAAACAAACACACACACTCACACACACTGACGCACACGCGCACACACACACACTCACACTCACAGGTTGCATGCTCCAGTTTAACCCTCCTGCGCTCCTGGTGGGTCAAACAGACCCCAAATTGTGTTTTTTTTTTTTTTTTTATTTAATCACTCCTTGGGCTTGTGTACAACAGCTGTGTCTCATTTTCGTGTATGCACTACTGACTGCATACAGCAGGGGGCAATATTTTTTATTTTAATAAAGTGTCTATTAAATGAAGGGGAAAAAAAACAATTTCGGGTTTGTTTGACCCAGCAGCAGAGCGGGAGGGTTAAATGAAGGAAAAAACAAAATTTGGAGTCTGTTTGACCCCCCAGGAGAGCGTGAAACGTTAACGAGAATAATTCTAACATCAGCCACTTGCTTTTCTCACAGACTTACACTGTTATTGATTGGCCTGGAATGTTCCACAGTAAAGCATTAAATGTATCTCTATTCCATTTGTTCAGTTGCAGGTGTTTGTATAAAACATGCTCTTATATCGAGCGTCTCTGCACTTGGAACTGATAACGTCATTTATTTATTTTTTATTTCTTTACTGCTCGATTGTGAATCATTCTGCAAAGCAAAAACAAAACATTTCCATGGTGACGGACCCTCCACCAGAAAAGAGACGTAGTGTATCTTTAACACATTTTTGCATGATTCAAATGAAGATAAATATTGTTTATGGTTTATGAGGCTGAGGAACCAGGAACCAAACATGTTCATTTGTCTTATGTTTCATTTCTTGGGTTGTTTTTTAAAGTCAGTAAAGTATTTCCCTTGTTGACATGTTTCTGCTGCTGCATTTTCAGAACTGTTGCCGTCGTTGGAGGCGACGTGTCGTGTATCAGCTGTTGTTACGTCCTGGTGTCACCACCAACACCAGGGACACTTCTGAACACGTCTGAAACACTTTACTTTACTGTACTGACTTTAAAAAGAACCCAAGAAGTTCAAATTACTCAAACATGTGTGAATTAAAAAACACAGAACCCCTACGCCATGCAGTAGCTGGGCTGAGGATAGATTACATCCAGGATTGTGATTCTTCTGGGGTCCCACACACAGTCCTCCTCCAGGCCGCTCGGCACCATGCCACAGTTAGGGGGCACCCAGGCTGTGTTGTACCCGTGCTTGTGCCAGGTCTTCTGCAGAGGGTGGCCCTGGCGGTTTATGGCAATGACTTTGCCCACTCTCACCAGGACTCTGAAGACCACTTTCTGGTGTTCAGGGAGGTCCCGGGGGTAGCGGCTGGCCTTCTGCAGGTCCCGGGTCAGGTACACCCCAGGCCCCAGCATCCCGTCTTTGGACCGTTTAAACCCGAAGCACTGGATGGAGTGGGCATTCCAGACGCTGGTGCCATGATACATGAGGTAGGTCTTACCTAAAACACACCACAATGAAATCAAAGGAAAACTGAGCTTCTGATGAACTCTAAGCTCTAAAACCTTCAGAGAATCAGATCAAACTTAATCCTGTGTAAAAGGGCAAAGGTAAAATACACCTTTTCATTCTCTGCATTTGACCCGTCCTTCAGTGCCGCTGGGGCACCTGAGCAGGAGCAGCGGGCGCCACAGAGCAGAGCCCTGGCACCTCCACATCTTGAGACGGGCTTGTGTCATTGCCAGATTTGGCACTTGGTCCAATGTGGCGCCTTTTCAAATAAAACGGTGTTTATTGTGTTGTGTGGCTGTGGCTCGGGTCAAATGTGTTCAGGTTAAAGTTTGATCATTTTACAGAGTCTAAGTTCTAAGAAACACAAACAAAAACACTTCAGTCTTTACTCTTTACAGTTTCAGTCAAACAGTTTATATTTCCAAGACAAATCTGATCAAACTCATCTCAAAAATAAGATTTGTTCATTTGTTAGAATCTTCAGAGTTTGTGCCTGAACGTGTCCAGTGTGATGTTCACTTTGATGTTCACTTTGAAAAATGGGTCTAAATTGAGCCATGAGTCTTTTGCTCAGGTCTGGACCTGGAGGATCTGTGTTCTTCACCATGTTTTGGTCTGCTGGTTCATGTACTTCATGTACTTCATGTACTTCGTGTACTTCGTGTCGTGTGGTGGTGTATAAATGTGATCCGTGTGTTTTCTTTACCACAGGTCGGGGCGTGTGGACCCAGACACATCACTCCATAAGGCAAACAACAGTAATTCTCTGTCCATTGGCAAGTCATGATCTCTGCTCAGCTGCAAACACCAGGAGAACATGTAAACACCAGGTTCAACTCTGTGATGTCACTAGGTGGTCTGTAAAGAAGTGCTCCTTTGTGTTTCTAAAGTGTGTGGGACTGTGAAGAGGTGATGTCGTCTCTTTGGTTTCTCTCCTCTTTCACTATCGTGACATTTTGACGGGTTTTCTTACATAACTAATCACCTTTTAACATTATTCTCGGTCTAAAAATAAATGACTAAAACATGTTTATTGGAGAAAATCTGCACTGATATGATTTTGTGTGAAAGTTTCAGCAGTTTGTGTCCATGAGCTGTGTAGTTAGACATATATTCTTCAGCTCAGATTGTTTTTATGACACATCAGCTTCATGTTTTTAGAGTCATTTAAACAACTTCAACCAGAGCCAGGGCCATCACCTGCCGAGGGGCCTAGGGCAGGTTTTTGTAGTTTTCAAAGGCTAAGTCTATTCTACGTGAACATTAAAATGATAGTTTTGATGTAGTTTACAAAGCCTGTACAGTCCCGAGGTTTTTAATGCGAATGGAAAGTTCCCTTAACACTTTTTCTATTTTTGTCACCATCTTGTAGAGGTGTTTTCAATAAATGTAAAGTTAAATTAATTTTTACACAGAGGACAACTAAAAACAAAAACAAACAAAGAAACAAAGAGTCATTTCAAAACATCACATTTCTTTTATAGTTTAACCATTAACCTACATTCAAATTCAAAGTAAACTGGACAAAACATAAAGTATCGACACTTGAAAGAGGAAATAAAATGAACAAAACTTTCCAAATGTAAAAATAAATTTTTAAAAAATCTTGTATCCTGTGTTTTTAAACTCAAAATTATAAGATTACTTTATTTAAGTAAATAATTAAAATTTAAATTCAAACTTACCGTTTAGATCTGGATGGAAGCTCGTGAGCAAATGAAAGCGGCGCTCAGCTGCAGGTGTTTGGATAAAACATGCACTTCTATCGTCTCAGGTCATTTATTTCTTTACTGCTCGATTGTGAATCATTCTGCAAACTAGGGATGGGCATTCGATGAAATTCTTAATGATCAGTTATCGATTAACTGACTAATCATGCCCATCCCTACTGCAAAGCAAGTGTTTTTTTTTTTTTTTTATAATGATCCAAAATCCACAAAGTCCAAAGGTGAAATGAGTCATAAAGTTTGTTCTTTTTGCAGCGTCAGATTGTAGAAAAAAGTGGAGTGAGTGTGACGTCACCAGAGCAACAGGTGCGTCTCAACGACAGGTGCATCTCAACTCTAAACGTCGAGGCTCAGACCAGGACACAAGAGAATATCATGAAATTTCTCATGGAACTTTACTTTGGCAAGTGTCAAAAATGTACACTAGGTACAGACAGTGTTGGGGAGTAACAGATTACATGTACCAGAGTAATCAGAGTACAAATGATGAGTAACTGTATTCGGTTACAGTTACTGTTTCAGTGAGTGGTAATTGGATTACAGTTACTTTGTTGAAATAAATGGATTACAGGACGGTATTTTCCTGTTTTCACATTTTGGACTAAAACCAGGACTAAACACTATGACATTAACATTAGGATGGATCATTTAAAGCAGCTGTGTCTCATATAAAAATCTTTCATCTATCGATAATATTTTTTATGTGTAAGTAAAAACTGGACTTTTTCTTTTTCTTTTAGCAGATAAAACAAAACATCTTCTGTTCAGGGAGACTTGGGCTCAATAGACAATTTGAAAAAGACAAACATGAATTTTCAGGATGTGTTTGATACATTCAGGTTGTTTAAAAAACACAACAATATCAAGTAATCCAAAGTATTCAGATTACAATACTCACTTTAAGTAATTTAATGGATTATGTTACAGACTACATTTTGGTGTATGTAATCTGTAATCTGTAATCTGTAGGGGAATACATTTTAAAAGTAAACTTCCCAACACTGCATGTTATAGAGTTTAAATCTGCCCTTTCTGCCTCTTTGGCTTTACAACATCCAAACATGAACCTCTGTCATCGAACCACAGGTGAACAACGTGTGTCAACATGTCGAGGGACCAGTGTTGTGGAGTAACAGATTACATGTACCGGAATTATGTAATCCATCCATTTTCGTCCGCTTATCTGGGGTCGGGTCGCGGGGGCAGCAGCCTAAGCAGGGACTCCCAGACTTCCTTCACCCCAGACACGTCCTCCAGCTCCTCCGGGGGGACCTGAGGTGTTCTCAGGCCAGTCCAGAGACAGAGTCCCTCCAGTGTGTCCTGGGTCTTCCCCGGGGCCTCCTCCCGGCGGGACATGTCCGGAACACCTCCCGAGGGAGACGCCCAGGAGGCATCCGGAACAGATGCCCGAGCCTCAACTGGCTCCTCTCGACGTGGAGGAGCAGCGGCTCTACTCCGAGCTCCTCCCGTGTGACTGAGCTCCTCACTCTGTCTCTAAGGGAGACGCCCAGACGCCCTGCGGAGGAAACTCATTTCGAGCGCTTGTATCCGCAATCTCGTCCTTTCGGTCACTACCCAGAGCTCATGACCAGAGGTGAGGGGAGGAACGAAGACTGACCGGTAAATCGAGAGCTTCACCTTTCGGCTCAGCTCCTCTTCACCACAACGGTCCGATACAGCGACCGCATCACTGCCGATACTGCACCGATCCGCCTGTCAATCTCACGTTCCGTCCTCCCCTCACTCCTGAACAAGACCCCGAGATACTTGAACTCCTCCACTTGAGGCAGAGACTCTCCACCCACCTGGAGAGGGCAAGACACCTTTTTCTGGTCGAGAACCATGGCCTCAGACTTAGAAGAGCTGATCTTCATCCCAGACGCTTCACACTCGGGTCAAACCGCCCCAGTGCTGCAGGTCCTGGTTTGATGAAGCCAAAAGGACAACATCATCTGCAAACATCAGAGATGAAATCCTGTGGTCCCCAAACCGGACCCTCCGGCCCCTGACTGCGCCTAGAAATTCTGTCCATAAAAACAATGAACAGAACCGGTGACAGGTGCAGCCCTGGCGGAGTCCAACATGCACCGGGAACAGGTCTGACTTACTGCCGGCAATGAACACAGCTCCTGCTCTGGTCATACAGGGACCGGACAGCCCTTAGCAAAGGGCCCCGGACCCCATACTCCCAGAGCACCCCCCACAGGACACCACGAGGGACACGGTCAAATGCCTTCTCCAGATCCACAAAACACATGTGGACTGGTTGGGCAAACTCCCATGAACCTCGAGCACCGATGGAGAGTGTAGAGCTGGTCCAGTGTTCCACGGCCAGGACGAAAACCACACTGCTCCTCCTGGATCCGAGGTTCGACTATCGGCCGGATTCTCCTCTCCAGTCCCTGGCATAGACCTTACCGGGAAGGCTGAGGAGTGTGATCCCCCTATAGTTGGAACACACTCTCCGGTCCCCCTTCTTATACAGAGGGACCACCACCCCGGTTTGCCAGTCCAGAGGTACTGTCCCCGACCGCCACGCGATGTTGAAGAGGCGTGTCAGCCAAGACCCACAACATCCAGAGACTTCAGGTACTCAGGACGGATCTCATCCAACCCCGGAGCCTTGCCACCAAGGAGCTTTCCAACCACCTCAGTGACTTCAGACACGGTGATGGATGAGTCCGCCTCCGAGTCTCCAGCCTCGGCCTCCTCCTCGGAAGACGTGACGGTGGGATTGAGGAGATCCTCAAAGTTTTCCTTCCACCGCCGGACAACGTCCCCAGTCGAGGTCAGCAGCTCTCCCCCCGCACTGTAAACAGTGTTGGTGAAGAACTGCTTCCCCCTCCTGAGGCGCCGGACGGTTTACCAGAATCTCTTTGAAGCCGTCCGATAGTCCTTCTCCATGGCCTCCCCGAACTCCTCCCAGCTCCGAGTTTTTGCCTCCGCGACCACACGGGCTGCAGCACGCTTGGCCCGCCGGTACCCGTCAGCTGCTTCAGGAGTCCCCCGAGCCAG